TGTCTCGTTTCGCCCCCCCTGTGGCCCTGTCCCTCTCTCTGTAACGCAACGTGAAGGCCCAGCCCATATACGTCAGACAAAAAAGTAGGCTATTGTAGAAGGGGAAGCCCATTGTAGAAGGCAATGGGGCCAGGTCTGGAACGCACGCACGTATAGGTCAGATCGTGGCCACGTTGGTGGCTGCTACGAGATCGACACCCGATCCTCGGTCGCCCGCCGCCTGCTTTGCTGCTATAGGGGCACCGTCCAGAGCAGTTCATGATCTATCAACATGGAGCTTCCAATCTTAGTCCAGAATTGCTGAAGGGGAAATCCAGACCTTGCACGGCCGATCGGCCGGCCGGCCGCAGAGCCAACATGAGGGGCAATTAGGCATGGAAAAATGGTTAGATTACTCTCTCCTCTTCTCAATTACTTAGCCGATGGCTGATGTTTTGAGATTAGATTAACTTGTGCCTTTAGAAGTAGAACCGAAGTACAAGATTTGATCTGTATAAACTACACAAAAAATTGACCGTGAGACATGGTTTTGCATTGGTTATCCGTTCCTGTAGTTGAATGATTTAGTTACATCCGAATTGCTTTCAGAATTTTCTTTAGGAAAACTCCTGATTGAAATTGAATTTATTCATAGCTCGTGCCAATTTTCTTTGCTTGATTAGGATGGATATACAGTTCATCAAAATAGGCTATTGTCCCACTAAAAAAACCAAAGTTTTAGGGTTTTGGTTTTATTATTTGTTTTTCCTTTAGTTTTGTGTTTTCCATTTTCTTTATTTGCTGGTATTTTACGATACTGCATATTGTACACGTTATGCATCTATGTAATCATTGAATGTCTCGCACCAGCATTCACACATGCATACACACATTTACAGATTGTTTTTACATTATAATGAGTTATTAAATCACTAGGTGAAAGAACTGCGGATCAGTTTCAAGTGGATGGATCATAAGTGATCAACACGATAATCCATGACTTGATCACTTAGGATCCATCCACTTGAAACTAATCCGCGGTTCTTTCACCCAATGATATAATAACTCATGATCATCATCATCATCATCATCTCATCATCATCATCATATTAATATATATATAAACTCTTGCATCATATCATCACCAACAAGCTAATAATCATCATAGTCATTACCACTATTTAATCATCATAGTCATTCTAGCTAGCTAATCACTCATGCTGCTCTCTCTCTCAGGTAAAATAGCATAAAACATGTGTAGCACCCCTGATTCATCATATTGGAGCATGCAGATGAACCTGTCTTCTAATTGTGGGTTGCGCTTCTGATTGCTGCCCCTAGTAATTCTTTGTGATCCTTCATAATTTTGCTCCAGTCTTTGACTATTAAGACTTGCTCGCTTTTAGAAATTATGAATGCACTCATGTGCAATGTAGATATCTTGGATGTAAGCTAACCATGGACATGCAACCTTTAGCCTCGATCCACTGAGGCACAACTGTCATCGGGAGTCCCTGTTGAAGAACATCGTAGTAACATACTTAGCAATGAAGTTTAGCTTAAAAAATAATGTATGCAAAAGATGCACTGAGCACAAATAGTAAAAATCTTACCATCTTTTCTAAATAGATGTGACCGTAGTTCAGTACGAACACTATTGGCCGCACGTTTTGAGTACTAAGATTTTCAAGTTTAGGAAAATAATTTGTCTTGACAGTATGAAGATCCTCAAGCCATGAAACATAATGACTTATCTCCTCGCAGTTTAGTTCAGCCCTGGGATAGTAGTAGGTCCTGTCTACCAAGCGCTGGACATGTTTGCTTGAATGGAAGTAAGCTGTCAATAGAAATTAGTTGTTAACTATTTTTAAATAAACAATATCGAAAACATAAATATGGTTGAGAAACTCACATAATGGTAGAACTGGAGGCGTCTGCACATCGGCCCAGATGTCGATATTATCTTCAATATCATCTTTCAGACGAATATCAAATGTGATAAGCATATCAGGCTCAAATGCATAAGCCTTGCATAATGCCCTCCATTGTTTGCATTCAAAATGGTATAGGTATCTGAATTGTATAATTTTGCGGCAAAATTATAACCATGCTCTGTCCTTAAATTAACTCTTTTTACCTCCATAGTTTTCATAGTACTGAAACCAACCTTATCCAAGACATACATTCTTGCATGGCAAGGGATACGCTAGTAGAATAGTAAAAAATTAAAATTATAAATTGAAGCAAAAGAAGCAGAAGTCATGCTTAATTACGAAAAAAATACTTGTCATTGTGACTTACTGTATCCACTTCGAAGGTGTCATCCAGCTTGATGCTGAAGCGCCTACCACCAACTAGGTGAGGCATATCACACATGCCGCGCTCGTCTTTGCAGTATTCACACATACCGAATTCCTTTTCGTCATTAGACATTTCCTATATTCATAGTTGAAACATTACTTAAAAATCTTATAATCTGAACATTTCATTTGGTTAAGAAGCATAACTAAAAACCCTAATTCAACTAATTTAACTAAGCACTTACTAAAAATAAACTAGTTCTATTAAATTTCTTACTAAAAATAAACTAGTTCTATAGTAAAATTTTAATTTTATCATCAAATCTCATATACCTAAATTTTCTTACTAAAAATAAACTAATTCTATTAATTCAACTAGTTCAACTAAGCACTTACTATAAATAAAAATAATTTATTTTCTTACTAATTCAACTAAGCACTTACTAATTCAAGTAAGAACTTATTAATTTTCTTACTAATTCAACCAAGCACTTACTAATTCAAATCTCATATAGAATTCAACCAGTATGATCAATTATTAACATTTGATGTCAAAGAACATATTGTGATGGAGTCAATATTTTTTGCTATCTTGGCCTTTGTGTTCAGCGAGTTGTTAGATTTGTCGATAGAGTTTACCATGAGCATTCATTTTGAACAATTTCATCAAATTGCTAACAACCTGAAGTTTATATTCATTCTAATATCTAACATTAATATATCTAACTCATTTATAACTAAAAGTATAAAAAACTAACTCGTCTAACATTAATATCTAGCTAATTCATCTAACATTTGACATTAATATCTACCTAATGCATCTAGTTCATCTAACATTCTCTCTCTCTCTGTGTGAGGGCGGCCATGGCACGGCAAGGGATGGTCTTATAGCAGGGCGACGACCGGCGATGCGAGGCGACGGGTGGCGGCGACGGGGACGGGCCAGGGCGACGCGCGACGGGGACCGGCCGGGGCGGCGCGCAACAACGGGGACGGACGCACGCGGAGATGGGTACGGGCGCGGTGATGGGGATGCCGATGGCGACCGCGTGCGACGCGGCGGCGACGGGGACGGGCGCGGTGACGGGGACGGGCGATGGCGTGATGAGGTTGAAGCAGAGGAAGAGGAGAAGAAACTGAAATTTTCGTCAGCGCTGCTTATATAGTATGAGCCTTTAGTACCGGTTGGAGCCACCAACCGGTACTAAAGGGAAAATTTGGCCAGGTGAAATGGCGGAAAGCGACCTCCTCTAGTACCGGGTCAAGACTGCAACCGGTACTAAAGACACGCCCTTTAGTACCGGTTGGAGCCACGACCCGGTACTAAAGGGGGTGCACTGCATGGCAACGGGGCAGGAAGTTTAGTCCCACCTCGCCGAGCGAAGAGCAGCCACACTGGTTTATAAACCCAGCCGCGGCTGCTCCATCGAGCTCCCCTGTAAAGCAGGCCTTTTGGGCCTGCTTGTGATGTGCTGCCCTATTGGGCCTACTGTGCTTGCGGGCCTGCATCATAGCCGAAATACATGCTGGGTTTCTAGTCGTATGTAGGCTGCTATGGCCCAGTAGGTGGGATTTTTTTATCTAATTTTTTCTATTATTTCCATTCTGCTTTATTTATTTTCTTTTATTTATTTCTGAGTTGTTTTTTGCTGTATTTAGAATTTCTTTGTGAATATTTTTGCTTTAGGTACAAAAAACTAAAAACTTTCTGTTAGTGCCAGTAGTTTTCAAATTTGAATAATTT